GTGCCGCCAACTGCTACTCACGATGTTCACAGTTTGTCAGTGCTCGTCATATTTTTATGGCTGGGTGTAGAGGGAAATATGGCCGCCAGCACCTGAAGGCACGCATGCGCAGTTTACACACGCCTGTCCGCGCCACGGTAAGTGAACTGTCGTCACTTCCGATCAGGGCCGGCTACTCTAGATGTCTGAAACTGATGTGTTAAGAGATTAATAATGCTCGCGGTGATAAAAATGAAAAGCCCGGCAGTCGATGAAAGAAAAAGCGCCATTGCTGGAACGGAACCTTCAGATTATCAGCTAATCCACTTCCCATGTCACGCTCCATTGAACATTAAGTGATCACGTTCATCTGATGTGCTCCCTGAGCCCTGATCGTCCTTTCACTGAGTGTTTAAACACACGTTTGTGGTGTTGCTAATCAATTAGGCTTTGCTAAAAAAAAATCACAGTTTTCAGAACTTGTGTAATAATTATCTCAGCTTTTTTCTCCGTCAAGACAGGTGTATTTCATGTTAAATATTACTACACTATTTACCAAATTTATTAAAATATACTTAAAATGATCATTTTTTACTTTCTCGTATACAAAGTATAGAGGAAGTATTGTAATCGTGCAAAAAATCACCTCCCTGATTCGGAAAAACATAGTTTTGCAATTTTGTCCGTATGTCTGTGTGCGTGTATGTATGTGTTTATGTGTGTATGTGATTACCTGTGAACACGATAACTTGATTACCGTTACATCTAGGTTGATGAAATTTCATATATAAGTATTATATCAAATTTGTAGTCCTGTATTAACTTTTCAGCGATTTCCGGTAACAGGAAGTGGAACTTATTCTACTTTCAATTTTTCAAAAACCTATAACTTGAGTAGGCTACTGTTTCAGATAGATAAATGAAATTTCACATGTAATTAAAAGATCTAATTCTCTGCTTTCTATCAAAGTTTGAGTTATTTCGAATTTCTAAAAAAAACGCATATGAATTTATCAAGTATACCACGCTATATTGTTTGCCGTTCACTTGATGTGCAATTCTTTTTTTTATGAGATTCTATTCTAGTTTTAAAAAGTTTAATTATGTAAAAACTGATTAAAAATCATGTCTATATCACCAGTTGCCATCCCCCGTAATGTTATATAAGAATATTCGAGACAGTTTAGGGGAGATCACTCCCGCTTTATTTGTTTTTAATTTTTTTTTATAGCTGCCACATAAAAGACCTATAAATGTATAATGGAAATTGCAGAATGTGTGCACGATTATTAAAATAAATGTGTTTATAAAGCATTTGAGGTTTTCGTTGGACTTTAAAGATTGAGTGTATTTTCGGAAAACCAAGCAAAATTGTTAAAAAGCCAAAACTAATTTTTTTTTTTTTAATTTTTTTTTAAATTTTTTTTTTTATCACTGAAAATTTTAATAAAATGGCGTATTGGTTTTTATAAGTTTAAAAAAAGTATAGTTTTATTTTATAATTGTATGGGGTTTACTGAAGATGTTCGCGAGGTATCTGAACAGCCCAATCAATGCTCGTCTTACCAAAGTGAAACGTCAGGTTATAGTTTAGGCTTGATAAAAATAGAATGTAGCCTAAACGCAAAAAAATTATTTTAAAGTCCTCTGCTTTTGCAACTTTTATAACAATGATTCTTAAATTCTTAATTTCAGAAAAAAAAAATTCACGTTAAATAAGGTTGTTTTTTTTCGGCCGCAAAGATGACAAAATTGAAAAAAAAAAACTTGATTTTTATTATGTCAACAATAATGATCGAACCCATCTCGGCAATCCCATTTGCGTCCTTTTAAAAACGTATACGAATCATTGAATTTGCACATTAAAATTATTTCTTTTTTAAAATCGGCACTAAAACATTGTGATCCGTTTTAGAATTGCTTATGAAAATTACCAAGTATAATCCACAAAAATATTTCAGAGTTAAAAGCCAATCAAAGGGTTTTACGGTAACTATATTTTAATTCTTAGAATGAAGTCGGGCAAACACATCTCATTTTTACTTTTTCATATATACAGAGTATAGAGAAAGTATTGTAATCGTGTACATAAAATCAAATGAAATTTTGACAGTTTTTATGGTTTAACACCTCAGTCCTTCATCACACCCGGAGTATAGAGGACTTATTTTAATTTTAATTAGGCAAAAATTATAAATCTAGATTTATCAAAATTTAGGCGTTTTATGCGTAATCGAGTCTGAAAAACTGGGCTTTGCAATTCTGTCCGTGTGTGTGTGTGCGCGTGTGTGTGTGTGTGTGTGTGTGTGTGTCTGTGAACACGATAACTTGAGTGCCGTTATGGCTAGGTTGATGAAATTTCATATATAAGTATAATATCAAATTTGTAGTTCTGTTTCAACTTTTCAGCGATTTCCGATAATCGGAAGTGAAACTTATTCTTCTTTCAATTTTTCAAAAGCCTATAACTTGAGCACTGTTTCAGATAGATAAATGCTATTTCACATGCAAGTAAAAGATCTAATTCTCCACCTTCTGTCAAATTATGAGTAATTTCCGTTGACAGGAAGTTTTAATTTACGCTACTTCCGATTTCTCAAAAAATACTAATAATATTTCGCACTATTATACACATTTTGTTTGGCGTTTACTTGGTGCGCAATTCTTTTCTCTACGAGATTGTTCTATTTTAAAAAGTTTAAGTACTTAAAAATGGATTAAAAAATCTTGTCTATATTCCCGAGTTGCCATCCCCCGTAGTGTTAAATAAGAATATTCTAGAAAGTTTAGGGGAGATCACTACAGGTTTATTCATAATGTAAAGGAGTTATGACATGAAAATGGGGAGTTAATTCTGGTGGTGTTAACATTGCTGTACACAGTAGGCCACTCAAAACGAGGTATTTCTGTTAGCGTTAACATTGCTGTACACAGTAGGCCACTCAAAACGAGGTATTTCTGTTAGCGTTAACATTGCTGTACACAGTAGGCCACTCAAAACGAGGTATTTCTGTTAGCGTTAACATTGCTGTACACAGTAGGCCACTCAAAACGAGGTATTTCTGTTAGCGTTAACATTGCTGTACACAGTAGGCCACTCAAAACGAGGTATTTCTGTTAGCGTTAACATTGCTGTACACAGTAGGCCACTCAAAACGAGGTATTTCTGTTAGCGTTAACATTGCTGTACACAGTAGGCCACTCAAAACGAGGTATTTCTGTTAGCGTTAACATTGCTGTACACAGTAGGCCACTCAAAACTAGGTATTTCTGTTAGCGTTAACATTGCTGTACACAGTAGGCCACTCAAAACGAGGTATTTCTGTTAGCGTTAACATTGCTGTACACAGTAGGCCACTCAAAACGAGGTATTTCTGTTAGCGTTAACATTGCTGTACACAGTAGGCCACTCAAAACTAGGTATTTCTGTTAGCGTTAACATTATTGTACACAGTAGGCCACTCAAAACTAGGTATTTCTGTTAACGTTAACATTGATATACACAGTAGGCCACTCAAAACTAGGTATTTCTGTTAGCGTTAACATTGCTGTACACAGTAGGCCACTCAAAACTACGACAGTGTTCTGGGGGTGAGTATGATCTCTACTGTAAAAATTATAAATTTTGATGTAAGCAGATTTTGTTTAGTTCAATAGAAGGTTCATTTGGGTCTTCGAATCATAAATTATACTATAATCATCGCGTGATCAGTCATAAGAACTGTCTGTACTAGTAGTACCAAATACCCACTTTTATTTGTCTGCCGTTAGGCTTTGTCCTGTCCCATCCTTCATTTCATTTCTCGTCTGATCCTCGCCTTTAAAATTACATCAAACCATTCTATTTATAATCTTGATGTTTGTATACTGATGTTTGTATTGTAATCTTATAATTATGTTTAAAAAAAAGATTTCCCAAATTGATGGCTTTGTACAACACGTTTTGGTTAAGTCGAATATCCCCCTCCCCAACACACACACACACACACAAACACCCACACCCACACTCACCCCCCCCCCCCCCACACACACACACATACACACACACACTAGTATTGTAACATTCAGCTAAACCAGGGGTCTCCAAACTACGGCCCGCGGGCCGGATGCGGCCCGCGAAGTCCTCTCATCCGGCCCGCGGAGATCCTTTTGTCCAAGGAAAAATCGTTTGTTGGTGAAGGCTAAGGAAGTTTGCCCAGAAAAATCAAAGACATGCCTGGAAGAAACTGGCCCCCAAACTGAAATTTGATAGTTAATGTGGCCCTCGGGCTGAAAAGTTTGGAGACCCCTGAGCTAAACTATTGTAAACAATTATAGTTAGACCTGAAATGTACAAACACAATGTTTTCGACAAAGTGAGATCATGATGTAAACATTTTATTTTGACCAACTTGATGTGAAAAACGTGATATGATATAGACATAAACAATCATCTAAACAAATACAAGGCACTAAGTCATTACATGCAAGGAAGTTTAAGGAACAGGAACATGATTTGCTCGTTATAATAAAACAAGCATTACATTTTAGCGCCATTTTTAATTAGGCAAGTGAATATTTGGCACCATTTTGTTTTCAATTATAAAGGATATTAATTGTCTGCGTAAGGCACGTTCTTCCTTTCGGCAACATTTAATAAGAGAATCTTTTTAGGCAACATTTCATATTGTCTATAAGGCAAACTGTTTATTAAGGCTATAAACAGTTTAAAAATATTTTTTTAAAAATTGAATAATTTTAAAACAAATATCGTTCAAACAAAGAAAAATGTTTTGTTGTTTTCGTGTAAATGACAGGGGGCTTTTTTAAATTAAGAGAGTCAATTTCTGATACCAGGCGGTCAGTGGTGTAGAGGAAGTAGAGCCTGTCGGATCTTTTGTCTGCCCTGCCAAGTTTTGGCGACACATTTTTAAATGCGGACACCCTGACAAGCAGAAGACACATTTCTTTACATTCGCTGTCATAGTTTTGGGAAAAGTTTGTGTAACGTCACAACTGACACATTTCTTTACATTCGCTGTCATAGTTTTGGAAAAAGTTTGTGTAACGTCACAACTGACACATTTCTTTACATTCGCTGTCATAGTTTTGGGAAAAGTTTGTGTAACGTCACAACTGACACATTTCTTTACATTCGCTGTCATAGTTTTGGGAAAAGTTTGTGTAACGTCACAACTGACACATTTCTTTACATTCGCTGTCATAGTTTTGGGAAAAGTTTGTGTAACGTCACAACTGACACATTGACCGTCTACAACACCACAGGGTGAAGACGAAATGGGTTAAAATCAACCCCAAATCCAAGCGTGTAGCAGTCACGTGATACGTACTCCGTATGCGACTGGCTGTAGCCAATCGTCTGACTGGCGTTAATCTTAACATCCTGTGGGCGTGGTCTAACTACCACGTCTACACGCGGTTTTTAATTGGAAGGCAGGCATATCTTAATTAATAACTTAATTAATTTGCCGATTAATTAATCGATTAGCCATGAGGAAGTATAGCAATTACCTTAGCATAGCAAGTTTTTATTTTAAAGATAAAAATCAAGCGATGGAAAGGTTTGTTTATGTGCCATGATAAATCATGTCCAATTTGGCAATTTACAAAAACCGACGAATCTTGCTTTTTGTTAAATGGGAAGTCCAATTGAGCGTTTGGCATGGAAAGACAGCTCTCCACGAGTCTGCGATGTACATATTTAATTTTATTTTTCACATAGTTTTCACATAGGCTTCAGAGATTTAAACTCACTTCTGCCTGTGTTTAGTGCTTGAGCTCACGTATGTGTTTTTGTGAGCTAAGATTTGTGCTCATGTCTATGTTTTTCTGGTGAGCTAATATTTGAGCTCACGTCTATGTTCCAGTGAGCTAAGATCAGCTCTGAAGGTACATGGGAGACATGGGTGTCTTCATGTAGTAGTTGCCCATGTTGTAGGGTTGTGAGGAGATGGCGTTGGTCATCATACCATCCGGCGCCATCGGCATGTGCTGACCACCCATCGGGTGCGCTGACCGGTGGAAGCCGAGGATATCGTGGACGGAATGGGAGGACGGCCAGGCTCGCATCATACAGGGGGACGCGCAGCCCCCGGGGGGCGTCTTGTGATGGGCGGCCATGGCGGGCGGCATTTGGAAGGCCATGCCTGGGGGGACTCCGGGCGTCTGGTGATGGTTGTGTGACATCATCTGGTGGTGCCCCATGGAGGGGGCCATGGCGGGCGCAGCGGCGCAAGAATAGGGGTAGAACTGGGCGTTGTATAGGGCGCCGGGGTGGTTCTGGCCGTGATGGGGGTGGGCCGCTGCTGGGTGGTGGTGTGGATGGCCCGGGGGTGGGGACGGCTTCTCAAACTGTGATCCCTGCACTGGACTCGCCCCGCCAGCGCTGCCCGGGCCGCCGGAGTTAGAACCCGGCCCGATCTTGTTTCTGAGGATCCTGCTGATGGAGCTGACGGACGGCACGTTGTACTTGTCGCACACGCCGTCCGCCAGCAGCTTGTCCCGGATCTCCCAGGCGAAGATCCCCGGGTCCCGCTCCTTGTACACTTTGATGTGTTTGACCACATTGGGCGTCGTCACGCGGGGCTTGGAACCCCCGATGGCGCCCGGCAGGATGGAGCCGGTCTCGTTGTACCTGGCCAGTATCTTGGAGACGCAGCCGTGGGAGACCCGGAGCTGTCTGCTGATGTCGCACGGCCTCACCCCCAGCTGGGCGAGCTCGACTATCCTCAGGCGGATGGCGTTTGGGAGTGGTCGCCCGTTGACAAAAACTCCGCCTAGCTGGTTGACTTCGCCATAGGTCTGGTGCTCTGTGAATAAAATGGCAACTTGTCAGAGAACAGCTCAAAGTTGGACTAAAATAGAATTATGATGTAAAAAAGGATACATAAGTAAATGTATGGGCACATAATTTTAATATTACAAAATAAATATAAAACTGCATTTTGTTAACGTAAATAAGTGTTATTTAAAATATAATTGCTTTACATTTTGAATATTCAAAGTTACTTCCCATTTAAAAAACGAAATAAACCAAGGGATACAACCTCTATGTTTCCTTGAAAGTCTTACAGACAAATGCAGTAGTACATACAGAAAAATACGCGGATAATTATTTACCCTTTAGAATAGCAAAATTTTATATTTTATAAATTTTAGAATCATCATTTGACTCCAGTTAAAAAACAACTATTATTACATTTATTAAATACATAATTTGTAGACCAAAGCTGGCTGAGTTTTTGATAATTATTAAATTCTCGTCTGACATTTAAACTCCGATGCATTTGCATATTACATAATCCAAAAATGTTTGGATACTAGACGAGCTATGTTTGTTTTTAAATAAAATATTTAATTCACAAAAAAAAAAAAAAAAAAAAAAAAAAAAAAAAGCTAGACGAGCTATGTTATACAAACAACAATTGTTGGTAGACTACAAATTTTATTACTATAATATAGTCCATATATGTGAGACAAACATTTCAAACACGAAATTATTGGCTCAAGTTTGACAACTGATGAGTTCACTATTTGTGTTACTCGAATAGACCTTTTTACTTTCTCGTATATACGAAGTATAGAGATAGTATTGTAATCGTGCAAAAAAAAAAAATTGAGATTTTTACAAATCTCGACGTTTTACACCTCACTGATACGGAAAAACATAATTTTGCAATCTTGTCCGTATGTCTGTGTGTCTGGGTGTCTGTGTGTGTGTGTCTGTGTGTGTGTAAACACGATTACTTGAGTACCGTTACAGCTAGGTTGATGATATTTCATATATAAGTATTTTATCAAAATCGTAGATCCGTATCAACTTTTGAGCGATTTCCGATAACCGGAAGTGGTACTTTTTCTACTTTGAATTTTTCAAAAGCCTATAACTTGAGTACTATTTCAGATAGATAAATGAAATTTGATATGTAAGTAAAAGATCTAATTCTCTACCTTCTGTCAAATTTTGAGTAATTTCCGTTGACCGGAAGTACTTATTTACTCTATTTCCGATTTCTCAAAAAACGCATTTAAATTTATAAAGTACTAATAATATTGCGCACTATTATACACATCTTTATTTAGCGTTCACTTGGTGTGCATTTCTTTTTTCTACGAGATTATATTATATTTTTTAAAATTTGAGTATTTAAAATGGATTAAAAATCATGTCTAGAAGTCGATATCCCGAGTTGCCATCCCCCGTAGTGTTATATTAAAATATTCGAGAAAGTTTAGGGGAGATCACTCCCGGTTTATTTTTTTATCTTTGCTGGAATGCGACATCATTCTTTGTCTTTTCATCTACCCATGTGTAACTTTATTAATGTTTTTGTTCTTTTATATTTTCAAGCTTGATTCCCGCAATTTTGTTTGTCATTTGATATCTCCAAGCTCGACTTCATCCAACTATTTGTGTCTATTGATATTTCCACGCTCGACTTCATACAACTATTTTTGTCCTTTCATATTTCCACGCTTGACTTAGCAACTATTTTTATCTGTTCATATCTTTACGCTTGACTCGACAACTGCTTTTGTCCTTTCATACTTCCCACGCAAGATTTCACGGTTATATTTGTACTTCCATATTTCTGCACGTGACTTGACAATTATTTTTGTATTTTCATATTTCCACGCTTGACTTCATACACATATTTTTATCATTTCGAATTTCCAAGCTAGATTTCACAATTATTTTTGTCCTTTCATATTTGCAAGCTAGATTTAACAACTATTTTTGTCTATTGATATTTCCACGCTTGACTTCATGCAACTATTTTTGTCCTTTGATATTTCCACGCATGACTGCCCCAGCTTTTTTTGCCCGTCCCCCCACGCCCAACACTGGCTACACGAGCGTATCAACCCCCCGACTTCTCCAAACGATTCCACATTCCACCCGCTGACCCGGAAAACTACTCCGAGTTGTGTTTTTGTAAGAACCGAAGCCGTTCATCAAGCCGGGCACCGACTCCCCCGAAAGTGGCGCACTGGTCCCGCCGCCGCTGTGAATCCCATCAGCTCCAGGATTCACTGGCCAGATTTTTCCCCGTCCTGAAATATTCCTCTAATCTGACGATCTCCCCGTGGTTCTCCGCGAGATTTGTCAACTCTCCCAGCGTTCAAGATCTCCCTAACGCGGTATGCTAACACACTCGCTGCCGCAGTTTCCCATCCATTTCACGCCACTTGTTACATTTAAAACAACCGCTTTCCTTAGTTGATTAATAAGGTTGTGCGAAAACGTTAAAAACAAATTCCGCTTCTAAGAAGATATGGAACAATTAATTTTACATTTGAAGTTTGTGTCATAATTAAATCAGTTTTTCCATTTAGTTTTTGTAGTATTGTGTCTTTAACCAAGGACATTTTTGTATAAAAACTCCAATCCACCACCACCCACCATTCACATCCCATAAAAGCTTGACATCACAACTGAACTGATGACCCCACCACAGCAACAATACCCCAAGAAGTTTAATGTCCAGATATTCTGACCACTAAATCAATTGGACTTACACCCCCTTACCCCCACTCCCACGCTACTAAGCAGTCGAACGTCCCGAATAGCCCCACACCCTAAGGAGCCAACCCCCCCCCCCCCTCCCAGGGTTGAATCCAGCAACGGTGCCAGGTAGAGACTCGCGTATAGGGGAGCGAACTGCGGAGAGTTGTCGGCGCTGTGATACATGAGCCGGGGGAACAGAGCCGCCTTATTTGTTGATATCTCTGTTTGTTTGCGCCACGGCTAAGGGGCGTTAAGTTTGTTTGGAACTGACACCAATGTTGCTTGTCGGCCCTTGTCAATGAACATACTTACCTATCCAATGTGTTGACCAAAGTCTAATAGAAAGGCTCTCCAACCAACACCCTATATATATATATATATATATATATACGGTTCAGAAAGTATCATCCCACGAGAGATAGAATGTCACATAAGTTAGTAAAACACGCAGAATTTCAAGAAAAAGCCTTTTTGTGTCAGTAATTTAAGGGCGGCTATCGAGTGCCCCTTTAGAGAAGGGAAATAATCGCATGATGTAAAACTGGAAGGAGCTCAGAAGTGAGTGAAAGATTTATAGTTGGCAGGCGGGCACTGAATGTAGGCTAGGAAATATCGCAGTTATGCCGGTGATGAAAGAAACAGTGGCCGTTTGCAGGCCGTTGCCAACTACGTCATGACAGACCGCTTGATTTAACGGGCCCAATAAAAGTGCTGGAGCAGGCGTCAGTTTGTGGGGAAGCTACCCCTGCCAGAGTTCAGTCCCCTGAGTTATGCTATGTAAGGAGTTTCACTTAAGTTTCTATTTGGAAGTTTCTCGTCTTGGTGTCGCGGAGGAGTTAAAATTTTATTGATGTGAAGAGTTTCTAAATATAGCATGTGAATAGTGGAAATTGTCTGTGCAAAAAAACCAAACTGCCAAATTTATTTTTTTACTGATAAATCTTTTAATGTTTTAAAAACATCCTCTTCACATCATAAGCTCCCCATTTGTATGAGCATAAAGTGTATCTTTTCATTAACGTGTTGATCGCGGTGTAGAGTTGCTGCCCTTGTGCGTGGAATTATTTCCCCTTGTTGATTTAACTGGAACTTATCATTTCCCATCATACACCAGCAACCTGACACATGGGATCAAAGTTTGGATGGATAAAATCACCCCTCCCTCCCCCTCCCTTGTTTGTTTACTGTAACATTTCCCCTGCACTTAATTGCCTGTCTGTTTGGCTCACAATTTAACGAACAAACGACTTAGTCTTAAAAACTGGGCTCTCAACATTGGAATATTTTGTTTTGCAACCGTTAGATCAACATGTTTTTAACAGAGGCTACACTTTATAAAGTGTAACAAATTCAAATCAATACCTTGTGATTTGGTTATAACTTGATGGTTGCAGATTGTGTGTGATTGTAAGTAGCCTGTCTGGTGAATGGGTAGGAGAACAGTGGTGGATACAAACAAACAGCAATACAGACAGCCAGCAATACAGACACATACAGACAGGAATACAGACAATATCAGACACCAAAAAATACTGACACAATTAGACAAACAGGAATACATACAACCAACAGTACAGACACATTCAAACAGGAATTCAAACAGACTAGCGGACAGAAGGAGATATATGGACAAAGGGGCAAGTAGTATTTCAAGTGGATAGATCTATTAATAAGTAACAAGCTAATATAATAACGGTTGAATGAATGAATAGTTCAGACGATAGGCGCTTTTGTTAAGCCTGAGTCAATGAAACGGATTTAGGTAAAGGTTAGGTTTAGAGACAGATGTAAAGATTATCATTAGGTTAAAAGAATAAACATAGAAAGGATCGGGTTTGTGCAAAGTTTAGTTTTAGGTAATACTAGAATACCCGTCATCCGTTAGATAACTGTGGGTTTCGGGGGTCATCCATCAAAAAACATCACGTCTGTCACTCAGAGGCATAGCGACCCTTCCCGGCGCCCGGGGACAAACTTTTCGATTTTAACCCCCCCCCCCCAAGATTTCGATTTTCAACCCCCCCCCCCTCAAACTTTTGATGTGCAACCCCCCCCCCCCCCCTCAAACTTTCGATTTGAACCCCCCTCAACCTTTCAATTTATTTTTCCAAACCATTTTGGCGCCCCAACATATGTCCCCCCCCCCGCCCCCCCCTTCCCCCCCTCCACCTCCCCTTCCCCCCTTCCCCCCCCGCCTCCCCTCCCGCCCCCCCCCCCCCCCCTCCTCGCTACGCTACTGCAGTGTCACTTATCGTCACAAAAAACAGACCCCCACATTCAAAAATATGTTTCTTATCTTTT